TCGAAAATCTTACTAGAGGAAATGTGTACCGCGACAGGAATAGAACCGAACCTCCATTTCCTTTTTAAACTGTGAATCTGTTGCCTTTTTTAATCTTGCTTGGTACCAACTGACAAATTCTCAAATTTTTACTACGTTCTTCGTTCGTAAACGTCAACAGCGCCATCGTTGGCCTCCCCCCTCTTAATCCAATTTCTTCTAATCTTTTTTACAAAGATAACTCGAACCCTACCCTACCTATATGTTCCATATAAGTCATGTCTGGAGAATGGGGAGAAAACAGTTAATGTCTTGAAAGCTTTTTTTTATGCTGATAACGTAAAAGGTTTGAAGACTTTTACTGTTTGATTTCTTCTGGAACGCTTCTCCGGACACGTGTTATAGAATCTGCCAAAAACTTCGTTTATAATGCAGCAGTTAGCGAGTCCGTTATATTCACTTTCGAAAACTTACCCTTGCGAAACTTATCTCCTCCCAAATATAGATTAAATGGTAGGGGAGATAAAACTCTCAAGCTGTGGTTGGTAACCAGTCTAGGGGAATTTAAAACTGTATCCAACCTCAGTGAAGCACGTACTTGTGACACTATGTTTGGGACACACACATGGAAGAGGAAGGTGTGATTTTTTTTTTCTCCATCTGAAGTGTTTCTGTTTTAAGATCGGCGGGTGGGTAGTCCTTGAAGTCGGCTCTTCTAAGCGGCATCCACTTGATCGAAAAGGAACAAAAGATGTAATAAAGAAGGCGTTTGGAGTCAAGTGATAACAAAGCCGGGCCCTGATGATTTCCGTTTCAGGTCAATATTTACAGTCACAGTTGAGTTGGAGGAGGCCAGATCTGGTCCGCCCGTGGCGGGGGGACAGATTTACCATCGGGACCTTCCGATGCCATCAGGTTCTATTGCTAGCACAAATTGTCTAACACGACACAGTGAACCAACATTTTTAGGAGCACTTCATCCAATATAATCTTTCCATTTTATGTCAGTTGAAAATGTTAGTCCGCGATGCCGTAATGAGTCACTCTCCTGGAGGTTAGTATCAGACATTATGATGAAAGACAGAAAGGGTTGCCTCAGATGATTGAGAGAGAGCAGTTTCGTTTTGGGGGCGTTAATTTAAAAAAAGCCCTTCCTTACCCCAATTAACAACAGGTTGTTGGTTATTTTTTTAGGTCAGCTTCTAATTTGACTTTAGCGAACCGATCAGACTTACTATTAAAAGAAAAGTAAGTGGTTGTGTCATCAGCATAGATACCGATTTGAAAACTGATGATTTCAGAAAGGTCGTTGATGAACATTAAGAATAACGTAGGTCAAAGGATAAATCCTTGGTGGACACCTGTATTAATGCAAAAAGATCTAGAAGAGTGGCCGTTCAAAACTTTCATTTCACGATTTGATAAGACTGAATCAATGAACAATAGGTATGTCATAATTAAACTATACATGCGAATACACAAAAGAACATATGCAAGCAGTTTGAATGAAATTAAAATTTGAAATCTGTGTCGCGTGGATTTTCTTTTCTGTCTGCCTATAACCCCTGGGTATCAGGAAAACTGTATAAACCGAAATGTGTGTCATTTTAAAGTTATTTTTATGACTCCTGTATTTAAACTGAATATATCTTTAATAAATGTGGTATTTTAAATAGATAAACAGTTTAGATTTGAAATTTGAGAACCTTGCTGTCTGTTAAGTGATAGGTACCGAATTAGTTATCGTAATAATATTAGACTACTGAAAAAAATCCGTGCCCGATTAGAAAATTAAAAACAATGAAAATCATGCACGAACTCTTGCGATGATCTGATACTGAGGAAAGTGCTGGAGCAATGAGACTTGCTATCACTTGATCATCAACAAAATTCGTTTGATAGCACTGATGTGAAAGCTTAGCCAATCTAATGATAATAATAGGGGTTTCGATTCTCGTAACCCGTTGTTATTGTAAATAGAAAAAGAAAGAAGAGGTATTGTTGGTGTAACAATACCAAATAGTAAAGATGAGAAACCACTGTCACCAGATTTCAGGTGATTATCATGGTATATATATATATATATATATATATATATATATATATATATATATATATATATATATATATATATCTCACGACATCTTGTTTATTCGGTCTTTCAAGGATATGTCATTAACGTGAAACGGGACAATGTCCTCCCCACTACCCTTTCCCGAGCACCGTCTCCGTAATCGTTTTTCACCTTCCCTCAGCAACAATAAGAACTACAAAAAGGACAGGGCTCTTATCTCCACCCTCTCAATTACCCGCTACCCGTATCCTCCCTCACTATCGGTACCAACATCGTTTTCTCATTCCGATGAATCTAATTTCTCCCAATTTTTCCACACAAATGAATCACAATAAAAAAAAAAATCAGCTCCTAAGGCTTCTAACCCATCACCCCACAGGACACTATACAATATCCCCCATCACAACAAGCAAGTCCACGTGCAAGCAATCGACTTTGCATCCCCAACCGCACCCTGACCTCCACCTAAATGTCCAAATGGTTTAAAGACCCCCCCCCGACACTAAATTAAAAAAAAAAAACGTCCCAATTCCCTATGCCCAATTCATCCCAACTTCCACCCCCACTTACAACACCATCTTTACCGTTTGAATTACAGTCAGTCTGTTGTTTAGGCAGTTTTACTGACCCTCCCCAGTCTGGTGCTATAAACACTCAACCCAGAAGAGCTTCTCCCCAACTTCTTCGCATTAAGGGTGTCGTAAGGGTGCTTGCCACTCCCCAACCCAGCTCTAATTTAACCCGTCAATGGTGAGAATGGATCTGTGTAAGAATAAGATAAGTAAAATATATCACAAGCATCCGACTCAATACATAAATAAATATATACGTGATAGCTGTCGCCTCACTTGAGAGCAAGACCATCGCTTAAAGTTGGCAAGGTCTTTTGACGGTAAGAAAACCGCAATTACCTTTCCAATTCTTAAAATGGCGTACAGCCATTGCTCACACAGAGCGATGGAGGTGAATTCGATCGTAAGATAATTGATATCAAGTGCATAGTTATCATAACTCTTCCGCTAAGTGAAATGAGAATTTTCAACAATTCCTTAATCCATAAAAGACTTACATATCTCACTAGCAACATTCTTCTTGATTTATGTGCCGTATCCCTTCAGGGCGTAAGTGATCATGGTCCTTCACATCTTCCTGTCCCTTGTAGCTCTTAATAAATTTTGTCTTTTTGTTATTTCTCCCAAACTCTGTTCTACCATCATGTATGTTATGCGCCGTTTTCCTATGTCCCTCTTGACCTCAATCAGTCTTGTGAGTATCAGATTTTCCAAGCCCTCATTCTGTGTTTCAGAAATTTCAACAGTCTTTTTCTGATGTTAAGTTTAAGTTTTCTTTTTGTTTCCATTTTTTTTCTAAAACCTCGTCGTTGTTCACATGTTCCATGGTATCCTCAGCATCTTTATGTAGAGCCACATTTTTGTTGCGTCAAGTCTCTTTATCTTTGAGGAGATTTTCCATCATTCCTTGCTATATAAGAGGACAGATATCACCTAACAGTTCAGTACTCTTTTCTTTGTTTCTAACGAAATGTTTCTGTCTCTTAATACTCTGATTAGCTTTTGGAAGGCATCTTTGGCCATCCCAATGCGCACTTCGGATTTCAGTGTCGCACTTTCCGTCCTATATTAGAACGCTTCCCAGACATTTAACTCTGTCTTCTTGTAGTTTATATTTAATCGTTTCTTTAGGGATGGATCTGTGCTTTATAGACTACGAAAAGGCGTTCGATAAAGTACACTGCAAAGATCTATTAGAGCTGCTCAGCCACTTTGACATATTCAGGAAGCATATTAGAACAATCAAGAACTTATACTGGCATCAAGTCGTCTGTATACGGAGAGAAAATGAGTTCAGCAGATATACAAAAATAGAAAGGGGTGTAAGACAAGGATGGGTCTTCTCACCGGATTTATTCAACCTTCTGTAGGAGCTTTCTGTAGTTTCCTTTCTGTGCCTGCTATCAACACTGTCGTCTGAATATCTTATGTTGCTGAGATTGTGGCCACCAATAATGAATCTTGGTAGGACTTCTAATTCTCTCAGAATCGTCTCACTGTATAGGTTGAATAAATCCGGTGAGAAGACCCATCCTTGTCTTACGCCCCTTTCTATTTTTGTATATCTGCTGAACTCATTTTCTATCCGTATCCAGGCGATTTGTTGCCAGTATAAGTTCTTGATTGTTCTAATATCCTTCCTGAATATGTCAAAGTGGATGAACAGCTCTAATAGATTTTTGTAGTGTACTTTATCGAACACCTTTGCGTAGTCTCACCCCCTAAAGCAATCACGGTGCTATCGGAAGTGTTTGGAGGCCGATTCAGCCCAGCCATATTTTGATGCAACTGAAAACTAAAGAGTAATTTAAATTTGTTTTTTTCACCTTAAATCTATGACAATGCTATTGAGCTGAACTTTTTTTTACATTAAGGTTCACCCTGTACAAGGCCCGGGAGCCACTTGAGGTAGAGGGTTACGGTAAGGGGTTGTTTATATGGATAAGAAGGGGAAGATTACAATTAACTCTAAACTTGAATAGATTAAAATTGTAGTGATCGGGAAACATCCTCTTGGGAGTCTGTTTTCAGAAAATAACTACAAACGAACAGTCAAAAAATGTGTATTTAAAATCAAAACAAAAAGTATTTAAAGTTGGTTGATCGGTTTTGTTTAACGGCATATCAACACCACTATGGGTTATTTTATGCCGAAATCAAAATATTTTGTACGTTTTATTTTTTGAGATAATATTGGTATTAGTGATACAAGTCTTATTAATTAACCCATAGCTGAGGGGAAGAAGAAATGGATCCATACTCTTCCGAAGGTTATTTGCGCATAAGTGAATATAACGTACACAACTGAAGTTGGAACTCGACTCTCCAATGAAAAATTCCAAGCCATTATCCATTACACCACCCGCACATCGAAGCTTACAGCATCTGGTATTCCCAAATGGTCATCCATCTAGATACTGATCAAGCTCGACGTTGCTTAACTTCGGTGAACGTACGGGAACCGGTGTTTCAATGTTGCCGCAAGCCGATTTTAAAGTAATGAAATAGATCTAAAAAAAAAAAAAGTATTCATTATATGAGACCAGATAAAAAATAGAATCAAGAATCTTTAAAACTTAGCATCCGACCTATCCCCCCCACACTTTTAACATCTAATTTACCCCCACCCCCATGAACGACTTTTTTATTTTGTGGCACCGTTCTTGTAAACTCTCTCAAAATCTTTGCCTGGGCTTAGTATAATCTCAAAACTTGAAAGACGTCTTTCAATTTTTCTTCTAAATTTTGGTTCTTTTATAATCAAGTCCTTTCATGACCCAACATCCCATAATATTCAACGTTGACAATATACCCTCCACCACTACCACCACCAACAACAAAAAAAATAACATAAATGCCGACATCTTATTTCTCGAACGAGACACTGGAATACAAACTAAAGACCGGGAGATTCTTGGTCCCAACGATACTAACCCGGCCCTATCTCCGCCTAAAACTGGACGTATGAGATGCTTGCAAAGAGATATGATTTGCTGGCAGTCAGTCTCTGATCGGAGATCAGGACAATAGGTAGAAAAAGAAAAGTCAGCCGAATAGGAAATTTTCTTAACCAAAACACGAAATTTATCAAAGTGAGAGTAATTAAAATTTGCAACTAGCACGCGCGCACACACACACACACACACACGCACACACATACACACATATATATATATATATATATATATATATATACATTACACACTTTTATATATATATATATATATATATATATATATATATATATATATATATAATCCGGTGTTCTTATAGATATTTTTATTCGCTTGAGGATGAAATGGAACTAGTGTCTTTAATTTAATTACAAAATTAAATTCGGAGACTTTCAGCTTCCATTTTTGAAACATGGTTAGAACTGTGTAGCGAAAAAAAACATATTTTAAATCAATTAATATATATATATATATATATATATATATATATATATATATATATATATAGTGTATAAAATGTATTTGAGGACGCATAACCGAGGATGGTTAGAAAAACAACCACGTCTTACAAACAACTAAATATGTTTATACAAAACTTTGTACATAGATGCGGTAATGCTTGGATTACATGTTTATTCGATGCTGTCGCCTTCAGCCGCAGTGATGGTTTCCATGCGGGAATGGAATTGTTTACATGCACGCATCACATGGTCTATTGGACATTACTCCGGTAATGGCGGGTATCAGTCGTATTATGGGAACGCTGATTAGTCCCATGTTCAACAACGCCTAACAAGGATTTAGGTCTGGCGAGTTAGATGACCACATGTTTGGTGTGATGTCGTCGTGCAGACTGGCCTCCATCCAATTTTGGGACACCACACATTTTTGAGCAGGCGCAGAGTCCGGATGAAACACATACGGCCTCTCGCCGTCTATCCAGGGCTTCACAACTATTTCCAGTATCTCACTGTTGCCAGCGGCATACTGCCGAAGGCGTTGTTGAAAAAAGTGGGGTGGCATGACGACTTCACTACATAGCACCCTTAAAACCATTACAGATGCGGGAAAATTGGTGTACGTAACGTAGGAAACAATCAGAAAGATCCGCGCGTAACCACCTGTCATTTCTCAAGTTCACTTTCTCATCCTGGTTGATTTTTTTTTTTAGTTTGAAACATAAAACAGAGAAAATCAGGTTTTTCTGGGTGACTCAACTTGTTGACTAACCGTTTTGCTCGGAGTCACCGTTGTTCTTGCGTGCGCGCGTGTCTGTGTGTGTGTCGACATAAACTAACCTTTCCTAATCATGTATGAGTTGTACTGAATGTCCTCATACACCACATTGCGGAATATGTCCTCGTTCATACCGAGAAATCTCTGGAAATGGCTCCTCCCATAGACATTCCGGAATTATCATTGATAATGATATGGACACGCTGTACGAATCGCGCTGTCATGATACCCTCCGAACGCTACAGTCGACACATCCCTACTGGAGGCTTCCAACTCCTTCCGAATTTTGTGCACAAACAACCTGACAGCTTCCAAAAGACGTGCAATTTCAACATCGATGTTCTTTGCGCGCATCGCAACAATTACAGCATGTCGTTTCATCAGAGGCTTTAGCTTACAGTTTCGCCAATGATGCTTGAAAAAGATAAAAGCACACATTAATTATCGCATAACTGTAGGTGCACAATCACATTCCCTCAAATGCACACATTATATATATATATATATATATATATATATATATATATATATATATATATATATAATTATACATATACATATATATATATATATTTATTTGAAATTTATATAAATCCTTCATGAGCTTCCGATCCATAGCTATGGTTAATTAATGATGAACATGTCATTTTCATTTATGATCGATTTCATCATGATTCTTCTGTTAAGCATGGAGAGTATTTTTACTTTCTGTTTTTGCTTACCTAAAGTTATATTTATCAACTTTGCATTTTCTACACTCGTTTATTTATCAACTAACAGCTTAAGTTTTAGTACTGTCAAAAACGTTGGATAAATTATTTTATTGTATGTTAAATAATGACTTCATAATCTCCGAGTATTTTAAGCTTAAATCCCGTTATATATTTTCATTTTTTTGTTTCTGCTAACCTTTTTTGAAATTAAAAAAAACTTTTCGATATTTATGTTTGTTTATTTCGTAATTTGATTTCTATTGTTTTTGTTTAATTATTGTGTTATATATTAAAAAAAAAAAGAAGTTATTTTTTTTTAGTTTCTAAAACACGTAATGTATATAATGTTTCTATACGTACATTATGTTTCCAAAGGTTGTCATAGCCCGGGGTGATAGTGGGGACAAGCATTCACCATCTATAAAATGCATCCATGGCATGCGTCACCAATATCCTTGGACAACTAAGTCCAGCTCCAAGCCGGAGAACTGGGCGAAGGCGAAAAACTGGCGCCTCATAACCAGCTACTTCGAGTAGACAGAGCTCTACAGCCCAGGAATGCAGTCCATCTAAGAGAAGAAAGCCCCTGGTTTTAAACCTCCGATGCCTTGCGGTCATATCCAAACTCGGAAAAGTCTATGGAAGTAAATCCAGACAGAAACCCAGGGGTGAAACCCCGAAGGCAGATAGCTGTCAACAGCCAAGGCGTTTCCAAATGTAATGCTATGTATTCTTTTGCGCCTTGCCGGTACGATCGAGAGGCGGGGCATGTAGTCTAAGCAGCGTGTAGCCTTTATATACCACCGCACAGGCCTGCCTCCTGGATAGGTCACTCCAGTTTCACCACCAAAGGACTGAATTTTGACCGTCAGGGTGCTACCCTTATCTCGTGACATAAACGGACGCCTACTAATAAATTGCAGAAAGAAAGCTGTGTTATGTCAACGAACACCCGTTTGACACTTGTGTAATGTCAACGAACATTCGTTGTTAGTTTCGTACTGCTCGTTGCAGTAGAGACTTTGTAATCACAGATACAACTATAGTAACGTCGTTGGACAATACTGGTGTCAGTCACCTTCGAATATCACACGCACTAATAGTACTTGCTCGAACAGTAATCCGTATAGTGCTCCGAATAGAGAAATGGTATAGCGTAGAAATGGTGATCCGTATAGAAATAGAGGATAGAATAGAAATGCGAGCTGAATAGTAATAGAGGATATAGAAATGCAGATCCGTATAGTATAGAGGATAGACTAGGAACTGGAAATCAATTAGACGTCACGCAGCATCCTATATATGCGTTTCCTCTATTATCACGGGATCCACGTAATTCAATAATTGAATAGCCTGTGTTTTCTCACTGGCTATCTATGTTCAAACTCAAGTATGGGCAGCGACACTTTATTCATATATAACATAAAGAAAGATAAAAAGAAAGAAGAGATTTTGTAAAATACATTGCCACCATTCCGTGTGCATCTAAAAAGTATTTTTTTTTTAAATCCAGATGTAGAAAATGGGGTTGGTAGCTACGTGTCTTCCCAGTTAACTTGGATCAACATCCTACCCAGAACCGTGAAATTAAGAGGAAGACTTAATCTCAATCTAATTAAAACTGTCACCGTCTTCAAGGAAATAACACGTATATGTGCACCACGATCGTAAATAGCGGTCATATTCATGAACTGGAATTCACTGACACTAAAGTTCGCATATCGACGCATAATAATTGAGTAAAACATCGGAAGAAGACGTCCAAAAAACGAACGCACAAAAGATTTAAAAAGTGGAAAACGCTGTTATAGAAATGCAGATACAAAAGCAGGAAGGATGAATAAAAAGAATACTTTAGCTTATCAAGAACACGAATAAAAGAGATAATATAAACATAGGTGTATATATACACTGACATTTGGAGGAACAGATACTTATGTATGTTGACAGATCTATTCTAATATATCGACATTTTTATATGCGTATATTTATATATTTGGTTATCACGCTTAAAAAAAAAAAAAACAGGAACCTATCTTTTTCGTACAGTGTCAAAAAAAAGTAGCGCCATAAGGTATGTGAAGTTGATCTTCGAGATAAGTAAAGATCACCAAAAAGAACCGCGTGCAATTTTTAACCAAATGAAGCAATTCACCCTAACGTGCCAAAAGTCAAGAGTAGATGTTTTGCATTCTGTAGGATCCCCTCTGGCCCAGCAAATTGCAACGACTCGTCATGATATCAATTCCCCAAGTGATCAGAACACCACTGATAAGATAATCAGTCATCTCGTTTCAATAGCTGTCCGTATCTGCCTGATATGGGCACTTCGACGTGGTGTAATGGTTACCAAGCTTGTCTCGCTAGGTCAATTACGATTGAATCGTGAGTTTAGTCTTCACTGGGTGATACATACTTTAGACCTTGTGTTACATCTAAGCTACGCATAGAAAATCACCGTTGTTGCCCCCTATAGTTACAGCTGCAGGATGTTGCATACAAATAGACCTCCCCGCCAATTCTCGCAAATACTTATGTCAAGGAAACATGGTGGTCACGTCTTAACAAAATTCTCA